CTCTGAAGGTTTACGTAGAAAAAAACAGTCTTCAAAAGGAAGAAATGCGTTTTAAAAGTTATTTACCATATGAGCAACGCAGAGGTTTAGTTTTTAGCCACCCATTCCACCTGAGTGGAAGTGACATCTGTCGAACAAATTTCTAAATGGGACAATGGATGCTAATATGGTTTTGAAAGCAGGCTACTGCATTGAACATTGCCAAATCATCAGGTAGCTATTCATCACCCAGATATTAGTGTTTGAAGAGCCCTATTGAGGCATTTTCTTGAACTCATGCTTGTGAGTTCAAACAATTTGGTGTAATGTGAAGGAGTAGACTTAGGAGACTACAGACTGAATCCTTGTTGAGCCTTAGAATGTCACTGTTGGGAGTGGTACTGGCAAAAACACTCCTTAAATAGATCACTTAAGCCCTCTTAGTGTCGTTATAAGTTGCTTCTGACTTGGTGGCATATCGACTACAGACTGAATCCTTGTTGAGCCTTCGAATGTCACTGTTGGGAGTGGTACTGGTAAAAACACTCCTTAAATAAATCACTTAAGCCCTCTTAAGTCGTTATAAGTTGATTCTGACTTGATGGCATATCACACAAACACACACACACACTATACATGTGTCATGATGTGAAATGTTGAGTGTATAGGATGTTAAAATAATCAATAGAATGTATAAAAAGTAGCCCTGAAGATGAAAGTACTTTTGTAATTGAGACTTTAACAATAGTTTATGGTAGTTATTGCAACTACCATAAACTATTGTTCAAGTATCAAGTATAAAAGTAAACAATTAGCCAGTTCTCTCCAGTGAAGCAAGGTTAATGTACCATAATATTCATGACAGCTGAACATGCTTTACAAATGAAAACAAAGCATAAACATAGAATGCAGGTCTTATAACATGCACTATCAGTGGAGTAAACAATTAGCCAGTTCTCTCCAGTGATCTGACACATGGGTGGAAGACAGAAGTGTAAACATGTAAGGCAAGTTCCCATAATGAAAACAAAGCATAAACATAGAATGCAGGTCTTATAACATGCACTATCAGTGGCTACAATATTCTGGTTTTCCAGGACTCTGGCCTTCCAAGATTCTGCATAAAGCAACAGAATGCTTTATGTTACAAGTCTTTGTTCTTCTAGACTTTGCAAAATTTTAGTCAAAGCAATGACATTACCATTATAGTGGCAGCTTGCCAGATTCTGAGTTACAGTAAGTGCAACAGCAATAGAATTTCCTGTTATTATTTTTCCTGGTGCACCAGGCCCTTGGACCTCAACATCCTGATGAAAGGATTGTTGCTAGTTGATGCGGGAAAGAGAAGGGTATAAATAACGGTCATAAAAGATAGCCAGGGCAAAGAGCAAAGGATGCCAGGAGAGCACTGTTAGAGGGGAGAAAACACTGCTGAAGCGCAGGGTTACATTTTCTCTCTCTTTTATGCTGATGTGATAATTGCTTATACTCTAGTCTGTTAACTGTACGATCTGTTACAATATTGTTAGAGATGTGACTTGAGAATATTTATAATTAAGTTTGTTTAGATATTCGATAGAGAATTCAATAGATAAAAAACAATATAACACATTTATATCTGCATGTATGTGCCTGTTCAATAAAAAGAAGAAAAGTAGAGATTTTGTTGCTCATTCAGCTTGTCCATCTTGCACGGAGCAAAGCTGAATGATATGCAGAAGAAGGGAATAAATTGTACAGGGTGCAGAATAGTACTCTTGTTCATTCTGGAATGAACCCTTTTTCAAATAAACACCAGCTGTGATGGACAGAGGCTTCTGATTTTTCCCCCCTGGAGGCCCATAAAATTCTGTCGGTCTCTTAGGGAAAGGCTCTGGCATTGGATTCCTTGATCTGACACATGGGTGGAAGACACAAGTGTAAACATGTAAGGCAAGTTCCCATGCAAATGTCTCCACACACCCCTAAGTCACTAAAGGTCTGCAAACGATCTTCTGTGTTCAGCCCAGTGTGCTTACAGAGCTCCTATAATAGTTTTCAGTTCAAATGTGAGTAACAAGCTCCCATAATTAGGAGGTCTGCCTTATCATTATCCCCAGTCACTGAACCTCTGTAACCTCATTTAGCTAAACATGCTGCTCCTCTAAGTGACCTGAGTCACCTTAGATACTCTTTGGGAAGAAGGTGGTTTATAAATAATAAAATGAGATAAAATATAAATGGGGGTGTTGAGGTATGTGTGCTCTTCTTGTGCACCCTAATCCCTGCTACTCAGTTAGCCCTCCATGAATCTGGGGAAACATTTGAACAGGGGCAAGTTAAAAAGGGTTGTATTAAAAGGAACAACAATGACATCTTCAACCAAAATTTATTTCTCTCTATAAAATTACAAAACCCACTTTTCTTGCTGTGGGGCACATACATTTTGACAACAAAATTTCTACAGCAGGTTTAAGGAGCACGTTTCATGCACCAATTTCTGCTACATGTACAGCGTCCAACAAGAACTGGGGTTACCTAAAATGATGCAGCAGGGGTCCAGACCGTCGTTATGTCCGTCTGTGTGGGGGCTTTCGTATATGAATACAAATAGAAATACCCCCATCTCTAATAAGGACACTTGATTCCCACCCTCTCATCAAGATACATAGATAAAGCTGTAAATGGTTAAAAAAAATTCCCTGTTCAGACCTTTTGTAAGCTGGTGCTTAGTCTGAAGAGAAGATGTGCATTTTCAGACTGCTTTTATTCCTGCCTTCATGGGTGGAATTTATTCTCAATGGATAGAAACAACTCATCCTTCTTATGAAAGCCACTCATTTATTATTAGTGATATCCCCTGCAGTGATGCTAAAAATCAACCAAGTGAGTATTTTTAATGGTTCTGTCTAAATAGAAGAGTCAACCGTTTTTCCTCATGAACAGCCTGATAAATATTACAGCCTCTTAATTAAACAAAGGTTAAAATAAAATTAATTTGATAATGCTAATTGTAACCTTCCAATATACACAGCATGAGAGCTCAAAGGAGCACATATTCCAGGTGCAAGTGATAATCAGCCAATGCTATTATGGGTTACAAGGTTTATATCAGCAACATGGTGCAGCAGGGCGAGAGGGATTCTTTGCAAAAGAAGTGCATGTTTGTAGAAATTCTTTTAAGGATCCAACTTGTATATTTTGAGTGTTACAAAATGATAAGAATGTTCTTATTTGCATTTTCTTCCCATGTATAGCTGAATACACAATTGTTGTGTTACAACATTGTAGTGCATACATTAAGAGGTTACAGTGCAGACTGAAATATCAGCAAGCAGGGGAATAGAATGGTCAAGTGGGCAGTGCTTGGTACTGATAAGATACTACAAGTGTCAATCTTGAAGGTATGAAGAGACATGGAATGAGCACGCAACTACAGAAGTCTCTTTTTGTGGGTATTTACCAAAATCTATGGGTTGCTTTTGATGTCAACGAAGTAAAAAGAAATTAAAAGCTAATAGATTCACATGGTTTTGAATCTTGCATAAAGTGGAGAATACACATTTAGATTTTATTTTACAGTGGGGTCTTGACTTACGAACGGCTCGAGTTAAGAACATTTTGACTTAAGAACCACTCTCATAGGAAAATATTGACTTGACTTACATACTAAGATTTGAGATAAGAACTGAAAAAAACCACGTGGGACGCAGGGAAAGTGCAAAATTTGAACTTTCAGTTAACTGTTGGCCAGTGAAAAGGGTGCCTGTCTGCTTCCTCACTCCTCCCAGCGTTTAGAGAGTGGATTGGGAGTCTTCAGACTGCCTGGGACTGCCTGGACTGTATTTTCCCTGCCTTCCCTGAACCTTTCTTGACCTAAGAAAAAAAAGAAACAAAATATCCCCCTCTAGTGGTCGAAGGCGGAATAGCAGCTTCCCCTTAGTGTCTATGGGCGGAAAAGAGCAGATATGGATCAAATGGTTTTCAATGCATTCCTATGGGAAATGCAGATTTGACCTGAGAACCTTTTGACTTGAGAACCGCCTTCCAATACGGATTAAGTTCTCAAGTCAAGACCCCACTGTATTTGAGTTGTTATAGCCTCTTGGGAGTGCTCAAGAGCACCTCCCCAAGCTACAGATCCCAGCAGTCTGTGGGATGGATACATGACAGTTACAATGGTATCAAACTGACAGAATGGTGTGATGTGTGTACACTCTAGAGTTCATTGTTCAATGATGTCAGCAAGCCTCACTATATGAAAACTGAACTGAGATATTTACACCTTTGAAAATAAGTAACAGAAGGAAACAATCTAAGATACACAGAACATCTTGTTCCAAGACTTCTCTGTAGATCGCTAGATCTATCCAAATCTCTGATTTTTTAAAAACCACAACTTTGTTTTGAACTTTACAATATTCATAGTTTGCAGGGATTTTTTTAAAAAAACCAAATAATCATTATTTAATAATTTAACATACAAAAACAGACCACAGCTGTTTTTTTCTATTTCTTTTTAGGCTATTAAAATGTAAAAAGACAACGTAAATATTGTCATATTACAGCCCATGTGAGTAATTAAAACTGTACTCAGATTAGGAGATGAATGACTCAAACATAGTAATGGTGTTTATTCTGACCACTTAAAAGAGAGATGGCCAATTCACTGTCATCAGTTCTCCTTTCCTGACCTTGATAAATCAGAGCTTGGAAAAGTTGTTTTCTTTTTGGGAAGAAAACGCCCAGAATTCTCCAGTATGCTGGATCAAGGATTCTGGTAGTTCTGGCCCAAATAAGTATTTTTTTTCCCCAAGATCTAGAAAAAGAAATCCAGATAAAACTCTGAGATTTAAATTTTGCAACCTCTAGGTTGCAAGGATTTGGTTATGCTATTCTGTATCAGACAGGTTGTTCAACTATTCATTAAAATATGTGTTCTGTTTCATTTTGTAAGACTTTTGTGGTGTTGTTGTTTTAAGTAACTGAAATGTTTGAAGGAAATTAATATCCTGGCTGGCTTGTGTTTTTCTCTGAGGCAGATATTGATGAGTGTGCTGAGGGGATCATTGAATGTCACAACCATTCACGCTGTGTTAACCTCCCCGGGTGGTACCACTGTGAGTGCAGAAGCGGTTTCCATGACAATGGAACCTATTCCCTTTCTGGGGAGTCCTGTGTTGGTAAGCAAAAAATCAGCAGAGAAGTTTTGTCATCCTTCTGCATGGTGTCCTATCCTAACCACAATCATGACCAAAGACATTATTTAATGCTAAACCTAGAATGTAACCAATCATTTATTTAAGCTCAGCACTGTTCTGTGTAATAGAAATTACTTATTATTATAAGAGAGATGAACTGTCAAGTCTCTAAATTGTAATATAAAAAATTGGGCAGTTGGAGGTCATGCTGAGGATTTGCCTTTCTTAATCGTATCCATTGAATCACTTAAGACAAAACATGTCCTTATCTGCATAGGTTTATGCTGTTATCATCTGTAGGACATATTACTTTACCATTCAATTCTTCTAGTTTTACAATCCCAGCATAAATGTGAAGCAATGCATTAAATAATAAGTGAGCATTTTATCCTCACTGATTGCATTCAGAATTTTGTTTAATTTTAGCATAGTGTAGTTTTAGCCATTTGAACAAATGCTGTATGGTTTATCTTCAAGTGGTTAAAAAGCCCCTCAGGATACTCTTTGCAGAGTCCTTTTACTGCAGTAGAGAAAAAGCAATTGATTGTTATCTGTGATGTGAAGCAAAAAGCTGGACCAACCAGAAGCAGATGCGCATGTTCGTTAATCAACCAGAAGAAAGAAGAATCACAGTCTCACAGTAAATGTCCTACAATTAATTGTGAATGCACCCATTACCTGTTAGCCTCAGTTTGTCAATCCTTTTTTCCTCTCATTGCCAACAAAAAGAAATAGGCATTGTGTGCATGCAAAAATTTGGATTGTCTACCTACCTTCAAACTATCTCACCCCTGACAGCTTCTGTCCATACCACAAGTTGGTAAATGATGATAGCAGCTGCTGGTGCTCCAGAAGCTTTGGGTCGCAAGGTTGGGGGTCACTGCAGGTGGCAGTCAGTAGAGGCAGAATAGGTTTTGCTTTGCTTTGGGAAATCTCAGCTGTTAGCTGGCGGGCAATGATGGGTGGCAGGGAAAAGCGGCCACCATGACAGTCTCCTTGGACTGAGTCAAGTTTATCACTGAGGCAATTTTAGGTGGCTCCTCATATTGAATGTTTGTTGTGGCCAAGTGGAGGCAGCTTGCTGGTGTTGTGGGACTGTTTAAGCGTAGCGACCGCTTTTAGTAATCCGAAAGTAAGTTGGCATTTAGACTTCTCCTGCAAATATGTCTGAAAAAGAAAGGGTGTGTTTGTTCTATTTCTTCTCTGCTGATATGTGTGGTTGTCAGTGCTTTCTGTGAGGAGGATGTGTTGGTAAGCACTGCAGTGTGTGTGTCTCTCTCTGTGTGTGTGTGTGTGTGTGTGTGTATGTGTGAGAGAGAGAGAATTAGAAAAGGGAGAGGGGAGAGAGAAGTGTAATAAGCATATATGCCGTCTGCCCTCATCTGTGCCAGTGTATTTAGGTGCAACACTCCACAGATGACTTTCCAATGGTTGCTTGTCTTGCCTTATCATCAGCATGTGATCACAGGCAAAAACTGCCCATTCCACCTGTGGTGGTTTTGACATTGTAGTCCAAAGTAACTTTTATCATATTTGCTTAGGTGCATAAGCTAGAGGACTTTTGAATCTTGATTAGAGATGGGCACAAATCAGGAAAACAGCAGTTTATAATGGATCATGGCTTGTCACTATTCACAAATAGAGATGGGGTATTCGTATATGTATACCCCTGCACAACTGGAGCTAACGAGGGTCCAGAGATGGGGGTATTCGTATAGGAATACCCCTGCACAACTGGAGCTAACGATGGTCTGGCCCCCTGGAGGTCCACTCATGTGTCCACTGCTGCTGCTGGCCCTGCTCTTCCTTCCAATCACTCTGGTGTGCCCACTTAGCTAGCCACCCCTGGCAGAAGGAAGGAAGATGAATCTCCTTGCAAGGCTAGCCAACCAGGCACTCTGGAGTGATTAAAAGGAAGAGCAAGCTGGCAGTGGCAGTGGATGCACGAGTGGATGGTCCAGTCCCAGGGGCCAAACCCTCATTAACTCCAACTGTGCAGGGGTATTTGTATTCATATATGAATACAAATACCCCCATCTCTATTCACAATCAATTGATTTTCCAATGGAATAAATTGTTTCATGGCTCGTGCAATTGTGGATTTCTGGAAGCAGTAGAATGGCCCCCAGATGAGCTAGAGATGCCAAACTCACCGCAAGTCTTCAGCCGACTTTCTTCTCCACCCTCTCCAAGCTTAGTGAAGATTGGATCTGGGTTACTTGAGTTATAGTGCTCCAAAGCAAGGACCCCAGGAAAGTGCTCTTTAGTAGCTGGCTGCTAAACCACAAAGTGTAGAAATCACCAATACTGGTAATAGTTCAGTGTTTCATTTTGTTCTAGGCATGTGTGTTTCCCTGCCTATGAAACAGACCAGACCAGTGAACTGCAACCAGTGAGGAAGGGAACAGCTCCCCTTACCAGAAGGAGTTGCAAAATGATAACCAAAACAAACATGGGGAAAAGCCGATATGGTGCCACAGCTTCCACTATTTGTTTTGTCAGATATGAATGTATGCCCCACTCCCACAGTTGCTGCTTTGTGCCACAGCCAGTTGGTACAGTGGCTTTAAAAACAGAAATCTAATTGGTTGTTGTGGGTTTTTCGGGCTCTTTGGCCGTGTTCTGAAGGTTGTTCTTCCTAACGTTTCGCCAGTCTCTGTGGCCGGCATCTAATTCTTGGTTGCCATCTGGCAAATCTATCTTAGAGCAGTAGTTCCCAACCTTGGGTTACCCATGTGTTCTTGGACTGCAACTCCCAGAAGCCTTCACTGCTAGTTGTGCTGGGGTTTCTGGGAGTTGCAGTCCAAGAATATCTGGATTACCCAAAAAATGGAAAGTAATGCCTTAGAGTGAAGCCAAACTATGTAGCAGACTTCCCACCTGAGTTTCAGGCCAGGCATCCTCAGTTTTAGGAGTAAATAACGCAGCACTTAGAAGCAATGAATTACTGCTGCCTTGTAAACTGTACCAATGGAGTACATGTTTTAAACCCAGGGAGAAAAATCTGCCAGAATAATTACATGACCAGGACACAAAGGCCTTTCTGTGTCTGCGGTTTATAAATTATAAGACTAATCTTCTGGGTTGGTACCACAAAATTGCCCTTGTCCTCTGTGAACCCACTTATTCTTTCATGTCAGCCCAGGTAGATGTGGTGCATGCCCAAAGGTCTAAGGCTTATCATCCATCAGACCTTTTGGAATGTATAGGATTACCAGGAATCATTCATGGAGTCTACAATGAGTTTGATATATTTAATTTAGATGCTAGAAGCATAGGCTTGCCAAAAGAAAGCTAATGTGCTTCAGGAATCTCATTTTTTCTCTTAAGTAATCCATGGTTCACACAAGTATGAAAAGCATTTTTTTTATTTACAGTACTTCTGGTTTTTTTTATTTGCTGCACTTGTAAATAAATATACAAGTATACACTTGTATAAAAAGGAGTATGTGCCCTAAAGGTATTTTCTCTTGAAGGCTTCATATTGCTACATGCTTCATATTGCTTCATATTCAAATTTTGGATGGCAGTGGTGGAATTTTTCCCTGTATGCAGGTATTCCGAATGCGTATGGTAGCAAGCTTAGACTGTATTTACATTTTGAGAAGAACCCTCTGTGGACAGCTCTAAGGCATACAGATATTTCTTTTGTGTTCAGGAATGCTTGAAAAATAGGGGTCTTCTTCCAAATACAATTGGATATTAGATATTTTTAGACTACACAGAGAATGTGTATACTGGGTTATTTATGGGTACTAGGATTCATTGCTTCCTTGTGTGTTTTCATTCTCTGCATGTAAAAATACTTGCAGAGAACAAGTATGTTTGAATTTTATACTTGAGAACCAACTGTCTCATGACATGTGGCCCCAAGATTCTCAGAATGTCAAAAACTGAAAGTGTGTGAATTATTTGCTCCATTAAATTTTTAACATGGATTAAGCCATCTGCAAGTTGAGTCCTGGCAACTGGACCTCTTTCTTATTAGGCTGAAAGAAGAAGTTACTTAGATGAGTAGCGATATATTTCAACCTAATGAGAAAGAAGTCCAGTTACCATGATTCAGCTTCCAGATAACCTTGCCCGGATGACTAAGAATCTTCACAGATGGATTAAGCTGGCACCACGTCTTCAGGCATGGAACTGGACACAATTTGTGTTTGGGAATCTATGCATTTTTAGGCTTTTGATTAATTATTTGAAGCCTCTCCACCTCCAAAATGACACACAAATACATGTGCATATTTGAAAATGTTCAAAAGGCACTGCAGTTTTCCAAAACATCCCCAAATATATTTTAGTCAATGAGCACTTAAAAAAAAAGCAGAAAATACATACAGGAGCTTTTTTGAATAATAAAGAAAATAACCCCAAATAATTAGCATGGAATTGTATTAATGATGGGGAAGAAAGGGATTCCTAGAAATGAAGCTGGCAGTTCTTCCCATCCACAGTACAAACTATGTGTCCAACAAGCAAAGCTTATCCCTCCAAGCCATCTTCTTGGAAGACACCAAGCATACAGGTGTGACCCATCTTCTTGGAAGACACCAAGCATACAGATGTCCATGTTTTACTATGAGGAGACTTATTCAGAGGATTCCTTGCCTTGGTTAAAGTAGAAATTGATTGAAAGATTCTTATTTGTAAGTGAGCTTCTGCTTGAAGAGTTATGACATTAAGAAACGCATAGTGGTTCCTGCTGAGATAGCTTAATTTCTAAAGCAAGAAGTGCTGAGACTCAAATCTCCCTGGATGTTATAAACCTTCCACTGAAAGCCATGATTCTGTCATGGCCCAGTTGTGACTATGTAGCAATGAAGCAAAGATGCTCTGTTTGGCAGGTCCTCTTAGAGGCAGAAGTTGCTTGTTTATTCTGTGCTCCGCAACTGAGCTTCTTGTCTCTGAAAAGCAGGTCTAGTAAGCTCTGGCCCAAATGAAACCTAGAGTGCTGATGAATAAAATGGGGAATGGGTTTGTTT